AGCATCGGTCTCTGACCAGCAGACTGGGTCCTGAGGGACCTGGATGAATGCAGCCAGAGGCTGCTAGGCGATGGGACCAGGGGCTAGCTGCAGGGGCATCAGCAGGAGGAGAAGCTTCCTGGGGCTGGGAGGATGTCCTATGGGGAGGGGGGTACCATGCAGGAAGCAGGGGGGATTCTGAAAGGTGGGGGATGGCACGACTGCAGGTGTTGTAGGGGCTGGTGGTCCATGGAGGTCCTGTGCACCCAGCACTATCCTCCTCATGTGCTAGGTCCTGATCTCGGGGCAGGGTAGGGCAGGCATGAATAAGGGGCTGGGTGCCCCCTCCCTGCTCCTGGGAACCAGCCAGGAGACGAGATTAGAGCAGGCATGTATCTGGGCGCAGCACCCAGGGCATGCCAGGATAGGGGCAGGGTCAGAGGAAGCTGCAGGGATCCAGGAGTCCCTTTACAAGCCCTGGGTGAGGACTGGGGAAACCCAAACCCAGGGGTTAGAGTCCTGGAGCAGGGAGCAGAGGCCACAGCCATGGGGTGCCTGCAATGGGGGGAGGGCAGCTGGTCACCCACCGGCTACCCCAAAACAATCCAAGAAGAAGCTGAATGGCAGGGGCTGGAAGGAAGGGGAGGCCAGTGGCCTGTGGGGGGAGGAGAGTGGGGGGGAGGGTCCAGCTCCGCTGATGGAGAGGCTCCACATGGTGCTAACGGTCCAGGCCGGGCTCATTACAGGAGCGGCCTGAACTGACCTACTGCTCTGCTTGACCCATTACCAAGGCAAACTGGCCCTGCTCCCAGGGGACAGGGGCTCACAGCCCAGGAGGCAGGGGGGCGACTCGGCCACCTCTCCTAGTGCTCTGCATGGCACTGGTCCCTGCTGACACTGAGGCTCCCAGATGTCTGCAGGGGGCGGAGCAGGTGTGTAAGGCCCGACCCTGGGCAGGTTTCTCACGACATGCCTCTGGCACGTGGGCACCCAGCTCCAGACAGTGAGTGAAGGTGGGTGGAGGGGCACAGGGACTTGCAGAGGAGGAGCAGGGATGGGGTTCACGGCTAAGGGCTTGGACAGGATGCAGGCCTCCTAGGAGCTCCCTATCCCCCTCCTGGTGCTCTGGGCCCCTCCTCCAGCCCCACCCAGACACCCTGCCCTGACCTGTCTGCATGGCCTCCTGGTACTACCAACGTGACCCACAGGCACATTCTGAACTGCAGAGATGGACAGAGCAGGGCTCCGGGAGCAGGCAGATCTGGCTCTGCCACTTGGGCAAGTGACTTAACCCTTCTGAGTCTCTGCTTTCTCATCTATAAAACAGATCAAGCCCCGGCGGTTAAAGCCCTGGAACCCTGAGATGTACGGTTCCTAGACACCCTTCAAGACTAAAGCGGACCCCAGCCCCTGACTCAGCATCAGCCAAGTGACAGGCCTCCAGGTGCACAGTGACAGCAGGGAGGGCCTCCCTCCCGACAACCGGGCCCAGGAGCTCACCGGGGCGGCGTTTGCCCAGGGCGAATCTCAGAAAGCCTCCTCCAGCGACTGTGCTGATGTCCATACAACTCTTCCTAAAGGTGATTTAATGACGGGAGTGTCTGATCTGTGAATATCTTATCAAGAAAGGACTAGAAAAGACAGAAACCAAACTTGGCCAATGGTTACCGTGGTGAAGGAGGAAGAGTTGTTGCTGGGGGGCGGGGCACTGACCTCATGTCAATGGTGGTGGACGGATTTCAAGAACGGATTTCAAGAATGGCTGTACAACACAAAGGGTCTCGTGGCGGCACTGAATGATACTGCAGAAGGTGTTGGCCTGGAGACCGCTCTGTTGGGTCTCTTTTTGCCACCATTAAAAAATAACCATTACATGAAGAGCAGTGAGTGTAAGGAAGAAGAACACGTCCTAAAATGGACTGTGGTGATGACTGCACAGCTCTTCTCAGCGGGACCAAACCGCCGCATTGGGCGACCTGTGGCTGGAGTGCCAATGACACTGCTGAAACAGAAAAGCCCTCGGAAAAGCAGGCGGTGGCGGCATCCGGGAAGGGATGG